CCCCCCCCCGCAGTTTCGTTAAATGATGGAAGCTGCAACCCTACCACCGGGGCATGATTTGGAGGAGCAGGTCCTGTCCACTACCTGTGCTTTTTCCTGGCCATGGTTTTACCTCTCGTCCAGTGCAAGCAGCCCGGTCCTCAACCCTCGACCCCGACCTGCAGCCCCCACCTGGACACGTAACCCCATCCCGCCCATACCTGAACTGCTTCCCTTAAATTCCCGCAGGTTTTTATTTTCCTCCCTCCGATATTCCAACCTCGTCTTCAGACCAGCACGGCATGGAGAGTTTTCCATGGTCTTTACCAATTGCTGAAACCTCGTTTCTCCTACCAGCCCAAAAAGGCTCCTTTGGCTTTGTCCTCTCTGGAGTCTCTGGGAACGGTAAAACAAGTTCAGAGCCAGCAACATAACGAACTACTTGATTTAATGAAGGCGAAACCACGCCAATCAGGGTGGAAACAAAGGTACCTTTGCACTGCCATGGCAAATTGAAGGCTCAAAGAGAAACCTGAGGTTGGTTTTGCAAGCACCATCCCAGCTGGCGCCTGCACAACCAGCTTCCAGGTACTGTGACGGAGTCCTACCATTTAGGACACCCACGGGGCACAGGCATGACCCCCTTCCTGGCCCCTGCCAGGAGTTTAATGCCATTGGAGTCTCACGGTCTTTAAAAAACCTTTGTTTTTTCTCAATGGCATTTGTCTTCGTGGGCCTCCACTTATGGGAAATACTTTTATACAGCACGAGTATGTGTGGGACAGTTAGAAGACAATCAAACCCCAGCACTAACAATCTCTGAATGCCACGCAACTCTCCCAAATAATAGTGAGCTGGGGAAAAAAAAAAATAGGAAAAGAAAAAGAAAAATCCTGTCAAATTTATTCCTCTGGAATATCTCACCCAGAGCGCTATTCTCCCATAATATTTGGGGCAAGCACAGTGTCATAAATCTTAGTGCTATTAATCCGTGGACTCATTCATCTCTGTTCAGCTATATAAAAGCAATAACCTTGTCACTATAGGAAGGGAGATTGGGCTTTTAATTGCATATAGATTTCTGGAGAGTTCTTATCTCAGAGTCCAATTTGTAGCTTCAGATACGGGTCTTTGCTTCCCCTGCTCAAAGTCCATGCAAATCTGCCATGCTCTCGCACGCTTATGCGTGGCGCAGAAGCTCAGCAAGAACCCACGGAGAGCTCCGCTGGCAGATAATACGCACGGCCCTCTCAGCGTTTGCTTTATTAGAGGAGCCCGTATTTAATTAGCTCCTCTGAAACAGGATATGCGTTTTTTCGGAGGATGATCAAATTTACGGAAACAAACCCACGCGCGTCGCCCACGGCGGTTTCCCTGCCGCCTCTCCCTTGGCTCTGCGAGCCAGTCAAGAGCATCCTTTGCCCTGCACTTTATTGTCGATAAAGGCAAAATAACCAGCAAGGGGTCTTCCACCCCTTTACCTAAAGCGTTGGGGACCCGGGAAGAGCGCGGGGAGTGTTTTGGGGCCCCCCAAGGTGCTCCCCAGGCAGCACACGGAGCGGGTGTCCCGTCTCCCCGCGCAACTGGCGCTTACCACCCCGGGCTGCGGAGGGGGCGCGGGGGTTTGCGTCCCTTTGGGGGCGTTGGGACACAACAGAACTGGTACGCAATGAGCTGCCACCGAGACGACGTTGGGGCATCCTGCGGGTGGGGGGCTTTTGATTCTCACTTTTTTTTCCTCACAGTCCAAAAAAAATTAATTAGGGTATCCTCATTTTTCTTTTAGCCTGCAGGGCTGGAAATGGGAACTTTGCCCTCACCAAAGACTGAAATCTTGTCCTAAGGAGGTGACTTCAGCTGCAGGGCTTTGAGGAGACAGACGACTTCAGCTGAAAAGGGGATATTTGGGTCAGGGAAACACCAAGTGCTTTCTGCAGCAAGAACCGCAGCTCCGTGGCTGCGGACGCTGGTTCTCCCCGCGCCGTCGTTCTCCCAAGGCGCGATGCTCACCCCTCGCGGTGCTGCCCGCCGGGAGATAAGGTCCATTATGGCCAGAAAAAGCAGGGAGCAGCCATAATATCAGGTGTTGTTACACAGCAAACAGGCTCATGAATAAATGATTCTCTGCTGCAGAATTTGATTTTTTTTTTTTTTTCTCTCTCCAGCAAAGTTTCCTGCATTGAAATTTTTTCATACTGCAAGTTGTTGGCCGAGGCAAGGAAATGAAAACCGATGGTGGAAGATTAGGAATCTACCGAGGGCAGGAATTCCCGCACACAGCTCTGTCTCAGCTTTCTGCCGCTCTCCCCGACGCTCCTGCCCGCAATCTTGTCATCTACACGCTTGCACACATCAAAGCGAAACC